TGTCACAAATTAAAGACATTTTTATAATTTTTTGTATCCATTGATGCACTGGAAAAAGCTCAATGCCATTGTACCTGTAGCTTTGTAATCTGACTCCACTGCCAGGTTGTGTTTTAAAGCCAAAACAAGCTACTTGAAAGAGCGTTGTAAAAATTTGCGAAAAACTACAGTTATGTTGTGGATGGGCAAGAATTACGTGAAGAAATTTTTGATTTTAGATTGCTCCTAACAATCTGTTCCAAAAAAGTATCAAGATCAGAACAATAACTTAATTTATAGTTGAGTATGGAGATAAAAACGTTTTTCCCAATAAGCATATAGCATTGCAAAATATTTCTGACAATTGCAGTTTCTATTGCCAGTTGCGAAAAATTATTTAATAAATTAAAATTGATACTTTCGTATAAAAAAAGCCTCGATGGAACAAATTCGATTGAATGATCTTGCTTTGCTGAACAAAGAACGAGAAATGACAGAAGAAATTAACTTTGATAACATAATTAAATAATTTGCGTACAAAGAAAGATAATTTTGTAGTAAAATGTTAATATATTTAATTTGTGTACTTTTTAACCAATTTTAGAGTAGTTTTTTACAAAATAAATTGGAAGCAACCTATCGTCGAATAGGAGCGCAAGATCGATGTTTCACCAGACGCCATTTACCCTAGATACACTACTGCTTGCAGGTAGATAAGCTAACTTTATTTTTGTTTTTTAAATATTTAATGTAGCTTTTTTTTTTGTTTTGAAAGATTTTTTAACATTTTTAAAATTTTTTATAAATGTACTATACGCGAAGTTTGTTCTCTAAATGTTGTATTCTTTATATCTCAATTTGCTGCCAATAATGTGTCTATTGTAAATTTTGGTTTTGCAATTGTTACCTATTCTTGTATCTTAATTTATTAAAAGGCAAGTTGGGAAATGATTAGAAATATTGGTTTTAGCTACGCATGTTTTTAGATCTTTAGGTGTTTTTAGAAAATCTAGAAATGACTTTGTAAATTTGTTATCTATAGCAGAAATTAAAATTCGCGTTGGTTTGTTGATTATTAGGGAAATACAATGCTGAAATATTTTGAAGTGTCAAAAAATATTTCGTAGTAGTAATCGTTTCGTATTTTAAACAATGTTTAGATCGCCGGTGCAAAATAATGATTTTTTATTCTCTATTTGTTTTAAGATATTGGTTTGAATAGTTTGAAAAAAAATTTATATATCTTTCAGACGGTTAATAATAATGGGAAACATTTTTAAGTTTGGTATTGGTGATTTCTATGGCAAGGACCTAACTATCGGAATCAGAAATTGATTCATCAGAGCACCAAGTTTCTATCAGGCAAATCATATTGAATAAATAACTGCTACCTATTAAGAAGTGTTCTCAAAGTTTTTGTTAATACTTCTTATATATTATCTGCGAAATACAAAATTCAAGGTTATTTTATTGCTCAATATGCAAATAAATAAGTTTAACTTGTTTTGCTGTACGGTTGTTGATACATCTGTAAAACAAAAAATGAATATAATTTTGGCTGTGTTTGGAAATATTGAAGACTGACTTAAGTGCATTCCTTCCTACTACCTTAAACTTTCGTATTTATACGTCTTTATAATCACAAAGTTCAAGACCATACGTAAGTACCGGAACCTTATTGTGCTCTTGTCTAAAGTGTATTATATGCAGATGTAAAACCGTTATAAAAAAAAAATAAATTCATTTTAAGAGTTAGTCTACTTGTCCGGAATGCCATCCATATATAGATGGTTAGGTACCAAACTAGCCTATACAACAAAGTTGAAAAAAATTAGTTTATATTAAAAAATGATTTATGTGGTGTCTTATTGCAAACATCAATAAACTTAACTTAAAAATTTTGAGTGCACTGAGCTGCAATTACTTTATATTTTTTAGTGGCATTTGTTAAAAATTTTTAAACGTTGCGGCTAATTATCTCGCTTCAACATATTCGTTGTATAGGCTAAAAGTGAGTTTCTACTCATCCGTTTTCTACGGGAGCGGGAAAGAAAACGGAAAAATAATAACGTGAGCATGTGCAGTTTTCCTTTAGACAAATAAAAACTTTTATTACGCATGTTCACGTGATTATTTTTTCCTTTCCCGTAGAAAAACGGATGAGTGGAAACTCGCCTTAAATCATCCATTGTATTACTATAAAATTTTTTTTGATAGTTTAAAGTTCAGTTTTAATAGTTTTAGTTTTGAATTACATATATAATTTTGTATATAATTTTTATAATATAATATCATAAATTGCGTATATAATTTATAAATATATATTAATTTACGTATTTAATTTTGATTCGCCGTATACGGAGAATCAAAATTATTAACTTAAAAGATTTGCTTATTACGTTACAATAATCATTTAGCATACCATTTGCAGATTTTTTTTACATTAGAGTGTAAAAAAGAAAAATTTAAAACGCGTTTGTTATATATATGCAGCAAACCTTGCGTAAATATTTTACTGCATTTTAAAATAGCGTATTTGCCTTTGCTGCTTCTTTTTTTTTACTTCTTACAAGAGCTTTTTTTCTTCATTTATGAATAATAAAACTTTATTTGTGTATAATCCAGTTTTGCTAAGATGCTTCAATGTGTTGAGAATTTCGTTTTTGTATTAGAAATTTAAAAGTCTTTATATTATTGTTCTCGGCTTATTATCTTTAAGTTGAACGTACAAAGTTCTATCACCTCTTCCTCTCTTTTTTTTTATTGTTAATTTTTGCCGTTTAATACTATATACAGTTTCGAAGCATATAAATAAAAATAAATATTGGCGGGGCAAGAAGAAGATTTATTTAGCCTTATCACCGAGCCCAATTCTCATGTATTAACAAAAACCGTAATATTTAAATATCTATACAAATATCTATTGTTAACAAACTATTTATTAAAAAAAAAGTATAAAAGTAAAACAGATAACAAATCGTTGTCATTTATAGAAAAAATGACAACCTCCCCCCCCCCCCTATAAAATCTCTTCGGGACGGCCCTGACCATAGAAATAATTTAGTATATTATAAATAAATTAGTACACTTTATATAAATAACGTAAATAAATTAGCAAACGCTATAGAGGTAATACCATAATTAAGGTAATGAAAAAAAAATGTTGATACACTCAGTGACATAATTTTTGTATTAATCATTTTTTGCATTTGAGTTTTAGTTAAATAAAAACATTTAAAATCGGATATATTAAAATCCGTGAGTAAGAATGCCTGTTTTGATTCATTTTTGAACTGCTTTATACTAGTTTTATGTGTATTTACAATCTTGGGAAACATTTTCCTCAAGTAAGGTCCATGATAAAGAACTGAATATGAAGTTAGTTTTGAATTATATTTTGCGACAACAAAGTTGTTATTTGAAAATTTTGTTGGATATTTATGAACTACTTTGTCAAAATAGGATTGAAATATTTTAGGAGATAATCCTATATTTGTTTTATACATGAACATTAAAACTTGATGCAAGTTGATTTTGTATATATTTAAAGTATACGCAAAAGAGGCTCACAAAGCACAGTTCTATCAGCTCCAAAAATTGTTCTGCACGCGTGTTTTTGTTTACAGTACAATTTTTTTTAATTTTGTGTGGTTTGTACTTGCACATGCAATATTGCAATAAAGAGTTATTTTTTTACATTTAGACTTAACAATGAATAAAAGAGAAATATAAACTTTTTAAAGAATTATTGTTTAAAAATGGTTTAGTCCTATATACCATTGCTAAATTTTTTAATATTCTATTTTCAATACTTTTTATACGTAAATTCCAACATAAATGTTTATCTAAGATTACGCCTAAAAAGTTTACTAAGTTTTCTCTTTTAATGTAAGTGTATTGATTATTAAATTAGGCAATTTGATGGAAATATTTTTTATTGCCGTAACTTGTGGAACCCCACAAGTTACGGCAGACGGGAATGTTTGTTTTTGTTCATACACTATTTTCAATCGGTCAAATAACTTTTGAACCAAAGTTTATTGTTATTTTTTACTCCATAATGTTCAAGTATTTTTATTATTTTTTCAGTTGTTTTTAAAAAGCTCTTTACGTCTAATTTGCGATCGTCCCAACCTTTTCCAGGTGTTCCTTGTGAGTTGTGTTCATCAATTTTGTGTAGGTTTCCATCAATTTTTAAGTTTTTTTCTCCTTCCAAATCTATAAGTTTTTTTACAATATATCAATGGTCATAGTATTTTTTATCTTTTTTAAGGTTTCGTCTACTTGAAAATTGAGACTGTCTTCAATGTCATTTTTCTTCTGATTATTCGATATTCGAAATTTTCCATTTACTACGACTTTAAACTTTCTCTACCGTGCTTAACTTATTGGTAATAGTTTTGAGGCTTGCACTGATTATCAAAGTAAATGTTTTTTCCTGATCTATAGGTCACTCTTTTCTTTTTTAAATACCTTTTTTTTGTGTTTTTATTCATTTTTTTGTTCTGCGTCTGTTGTTTTTTTATTTTTAACGAAAAAAAGTCGAACTTTTTCACTGTTAAGAGTTGAACTTTTTCATGAAAAACGTTCAACATGATGCTCATGCGCAAAAATGGTTCTTTTTTATTAGGCAGTGTTTGTTTTAACCGTTAAAATGCAGTCGAATTACCAAAAAAGCTAAATTACATAAAACGTAACCAACTTTTTTTTATTATATTTTTTTATAATTTATTATATTAAATTATAAATTTAAAAAATTTTATAAAGCTGTTATTTTTTCAACTGTCATTTTTTACTGTAATTTTATAAAACAAGCGATTGACGTCCCTGACGTACTACACGCTTATATTTTTTTTAAGGCAACCTTAAAACTTTCAAATGAGCAACGATTATGCAAATATAATAAATGTATCAAGCAATAATAAATATCAATGCAGCACAAATGAATAAGTGCGTTTCAAAGACAAGCTATATAAATATAATTTATACAAAAAAATATTGTTTACATATATTTTACCTACCGTTTTTATTCATCATTGCTAGGTTATCATCGTATCCTGAACCAGACTCACTTTCTTCGGAATAATTAGCATAAGTGCTCGATAATCCGTAAATGAAGCATAAACATACTATTAGTGCTTTCATTGCTTTGCTAGAACCACGAATATTTACTCATAAATATTAAATTCTTTCATTTATTTTTAATATATTCAATTTAATTAAAAGTTTATTTAAAAGTAAAATTTTATTTTTAATGAAAGTAAAAACAAATTAACAAATTTTTTATAATAAGTAAATATAAATTAGATAAATTTTTTTTTTTATCACTATATCGTATAGTTGTCGGTATTTTGCATTTTTATTCCTGATGTTAGGTGTTGCTACACATTTTGGTTGACTAAGTTTTATACTCATTGTTGCAGACGGAATTGCTACTGAATCTAATCAATCAGTTTAATGGACCAAATATTCTCACCTAATTCAACCTGAGAATTTCAAGTAGTTTTTTACTATATTCTTTTACTTGAATTCTTTGAAGTTTACATAAGTTAAATTTAACGAATTTATTTTTTATAAAAAACAAACAATATTAAATATTGCCATGAATAAATAACGTAATCAGTACGGATTTTCAATTTAAAAACAAAATCAAATTATATTTTTCCTCCAGTACTTCAGTACAAACAAATAAACTCTCGGAGTGTTTGTTTGCAGTTGAGTGCGCTCGTTAATTTTCAGTGATTTTTTCAGAAAGGTTCCTGGTGCGCATGAGCTGTGAGATGCACAGTAGAACGCCTTCGTGCACAAGAAATTTTCAAACGCAATTAGTTTAAAACTAAAACAGAACGCGGAATGTGATTTTTTGCAAAAAAGTTCATTTTAAAATATCTATTACTTCTCATTCTTGTTTCTTATATATATATATAAAAATAGAAATGGGTTATAGTACACTTTTCGCTTGGTTATGGTGTGTGCAGCTAGCATTACGTTTAAAAATCCTTTAATACATTTTTTCTTTTTTTTATTAACTATATTTGTACTTAAAGGTGAAAATATAAATATCTGTATGTATATATATGTATATATATATATATATATATATATATATATATATATATATATATATATATATATATATATATATATATATATATATATATATATATATATATATATATATATATATATATATAATGTCGCAAATTGATTTTTGTGATTGCGTCAGTCCATGATTGAGATTTTCGATTGAAATAATGTGAACTTAAAAAAATAATTTTAATATTGCTAAACTATTTTCCACCATTAAAATATAAATTGCGTTAGTTAGAGCTTGTCAACTTTTGTTTGACACCAATATGAGCAAATTGGAAAGTTGTTGGAAAGTTTTTGAATGACAATGCATTATACTTCTCACATCTTTTTATCTTTTGTTGACTGAATTTTCAGCTCATTGTTTCATTAAAGTCTCTGTTTTAAGTATATTAAATACTATATCTGATATCAAATAAAAAAGAAAAATAACTATTTTTTATATTAACGAAAATATGTTATATTTAATGGAACTTTGACCAACTTTGAACTTTTGTATTAAATGTTTTAAAAGGCAATTTTCTTAAACCTTTTTTTTTCTTTCTGGCGCTCTAAGACAATCCACAAAGTCCTTAGGGATTTATCAAAGAACACCACGGAAGAATGTTTAACAAGAAAGTTCACTCCTTCCTTACCAATGTTGTAAATATAATCAGAGCTAGCATTAAACACTCTCAATTTTGAAGGATGCGCTCTAGCCATATCCATGGTTGCATAGAGATGAATCTTGAGTGTGGGCCTCGAACGAGAAGTTAAATATTAGGTATTTTGTCCAGAATTTAGTTGTCAGCAATTTTTGCAAACGTTATAATTTGACATCTATATGAGCATACAAAACTTTGAGTTTTTCTTGAACATCAGTGGCAAACACTAATGCAGTAAATATCTGCGACAGTTTTTTGGCAAAAGTATTATTTTATTTAATAAGCTTATTTTTCCGAAACCAAAACCAAGTTCCAATAAAGCATAGTAACGAGCTCTTTTATGAATTTTGGCGTAACCTGTGAAATGCATGCATACTAGTCACAGAAACTAATACCACGGCGAGTCTGAATTAGGGAAGAGTGTGTATGATGCCATTATATCTAACTTACTGGCACCCGACCATAATTTACTTTTTGTGTGGCAACGGTGAAAACCTGAGTTTTTACTAATATAAATAGCGTCGTAAGGATGCACTAAATATTTTGAAAATAAAATTTTTTTTTTTTGGGGTTTACTTATTTATTTTTAAGATAAAGAGTATCGTATCATTTGATAAAATATATATGCTGCATTGCTATAATAAAAAAAATAACCTGAAATTAAACATTTTTTACCGAAATTTTAATCTAATATTATTTGTGGAAAAGAAGGACACACTATTATTACTATTCCTTTTACATTCTTTGCACTTTTCAAGTGTAAAATGAGCTTATCAACAGTCTCATAAGCTAGTAGACGTGCGTATAGCTGAAGATTATTCCATGATGAATCCGCAATTTTCTTGCATGTAAGCCACCATTGCATATACACATGAGCTACGAATGTTGCAAAGGCACGCACTTTTTGCACTTGGTGACGACTAGTAATAGTGCCTGGGAAAAGCTATCTAATCTGCGTCTCACAAAGTGCAATCTTGACGGATGGCTTTGCCATCCAACGGGCTTTGTGTAGTGCACCTGGTTGTTTGAAAGTTACTTTGTGCTTCTTTGATGACAGGTACAGCTTACGTTAGCTCTGTGAATTCCTTATAATCATCTCGCAGGAACTTAACCTTTTCCGCAGCAACAGCAATGGCCTCTTCCTTCATTATTGAAAGCAGCTTTTTTGCTTGAAGGCTATGACGAGCTGGACAAAACAGAAGTATGTGAGAGTAGTCATGGGTATCAAATCGCAGTTACTTCTCAGCCGTGTGAATAATGTAACATCTGGTGACTTTGACACTTCTATCTTCATATCAGTGAACACATGTGATAGAAGAACCTCTCTAATGTGATGGCGACAACCTGACCAGAGAACTGCACGCTGTATTTACCTTGAATGGCAATGCATGCTGCTGTTAAGTGACCCGTGTTTGAACTGGTGGTGTCAAATGTCATATTGACGATTCAATTATCACAATGCCACTCAGGCATCAGCTTCATTGTCAACTCGGCAATAATTTCTCCACATGACTTGTCTGAAGGTTTGTATTAACTTGGCACTCCCTAAAGCTTTGGCTTTGAGGCGTCACCGAGAACCACGGTCATGCGTTCTTGAGTGACTTTATGGTTTTCTCCACCAGACTCGATAATAAGTTCTTGTGTAAATGCAGTCTGTTGGGTTGGAGTCTGGTAGCAAGTGCCACCAGATTTGGTTGGCTTAGCACATCTGGAGGTATGAAAGTAACTGTTCCATTTGGTTTCTTTTGCTGAACTACTTAATTCACATCTTCTGCTTTGATATCGCCATTATTTTCTGAGGAAGAAAAAGACTCTGATTCTTCAGTGAAGTTAGTATTGCCCTCTTCATCAACCAAAAGTACTAAAGACACTGTTGAGGTTGTTGCTTCAATGTCAATACATGAACGCTTCAGATGATTCAATGCTGAAGCTTCGCGACATTGACGCCTGAGTATTTTTTTGGCTAGTGATTTGTTGAATGCGCTAAAGCTGGAAGCTCTTTCCCCTTTCATTGACTGCAAAAATGCCAGGTCATCTGCATTTGTCACTAACATTTCCACGTTTATCAGCCACAGTTGTAATGTTGATGGCAATACGCTTCGCAAACTTGAGGCAACTGCATTGCCTCAAGTTTGCGAAGCGTAGCCGGAGTTTCACACAAACAACTTGGTAGATTGGTAAGTCCACGGTTTCTTCTTAAAGACCGAGAGAGTTGTTTCTTGAAGAGTTGATCCAGAGGCATTCGATGAACCAGATTGCAGCAGCATTACTTTCTTGTCCTTGGAAGATGATGCAGTGGGACTTATTTCTGTCGCCTCAGCCTCCATCTTTTCATCCATACTTCACTTTACAAAATAAAGCATTTATAAATTTACTACATCATATACCATTTTAAGCAGCTTTTTTTAATATGCGTTAAACTGAACAATCAAAATGTTATCTGAGTCTAACATACAATTATGCAGTTGTCGCCAGTTGTAAAAAAATGTGAATACTGAGTTCATTTATGTAAGTAGGTAGGTTTAAGCAAATATTACTGCAAAAACATTTGTTATCTCTGAGCAAACAAAATTAGAACCTACCCAAATCTTGTATTGGAAGGCTTTTAACTTGCTTTTTTTGATTAATCTAAACTTTCAGAAACTTGCAGACAACATTTATTTATCTAAAAACATCAACAAACATGGCCAACAAAAAATAATTATTATTTATTCACGTAAATAGAGCTGTAGTAAGTATATTTAATAAACAAGTAATGGGTGGAAAATGAGTCTCCATGGTCTGTAGTAGAAAAAGTTGTCATAGTCTGGGGGACCTCTAAATATGATGTAACTTTATTTATTTTTGCACAATAAGTTTATTTCGACCCACAGAACAACATGGAATACCAGACAGATGAGTATGAAAAAAAATATTTTGGCGATGCACCCTACTCCGGGGTCAAAATGAGATTGTTTTTCTAACCTAAAAGTCTTAACGTTTTTACCAATAGTAGTCCATGAGGGTTTTTATATTATTAGAGCTCCTGGATACCAAAAACTAGGAAGAAGTAATCTTTTTGTGAAATTCAAATCCGGAGGTTTTCGGGACTCCACATTCTTAAATATTTGTACGGCCGTGGCGCAGTGGTTAGAGCGCTTGTTTTATAAGCAGGAGATTCAGGTTCGAAACGACCTATTTCGCGTCACGGTAAGGAAGGAGGCGTGAACTTCCTAGTTAAATGCACTTCCGCGGTGCTCTATGACAAGACCGTTAGGTCATCTTGGGGCACCTAAATAACAAATTCAAAAATATATATATAATTTTAAAATAAAGATAATGGTAGCTCTTTAAAAACTGAAAAACTTTTTATATTCTGACTTTTAGCTCTTTCGTCTCAAAAGGTTGCCAACACCTGGTTTATACAATTCGTTAAATGCTTTTTTTGTTATTCTAGGCTTTATTAAA